CATACTGTCAGTAATTCACTGTTTTCACCGAAACTGCACATCCCTACGTATATATAAAGAACAAGAAATGCGTTGCACTGTGAGAAACAAACAGAATTTTTTTTTTGTCGTTCTTTTCAAGGGGAAAAAAGCTGATTCTATCGTGATAGAATCAATAGAGTCACTTGGGCTCAATAGAGTCACATGGAGTGAATAGAGGGTGTGGGTGTGGGTGTGGGCATGCGTGTGGATGTCTTGTTCTTACTCCACCCCACTCTGACATCCACACCCCACACCCCACACCCCGCCTACAGCTATACCCACACTTACACCCACCCACATCCACTCACCCACACCCATCGACACCCACACCCTCCATCTCTTCAGTAAAACCTATTGTAAGATACGTATCCTTATAGGCACACATTATTGAATCTGAGTATCAGCCAAACTAGAGATTATAAGTTACGGACGTTAAGTGAATTTTCAATCCTTATGGAAAGGTTCAATAATTAACATTTTTTCTTCGAAAGCCATGAGTCGTGTGTTGTTGTTGAACATAATACGATTATCATTTTCTTCATACAGTTTCTTTGATACTAATAAATTTTCCCGAGCCAATTGAAGCTCACCTATTCTTATATAGATATCTGCTAAATCAAAATAAGTTTGAGCTGTTATGGACCTATCCGACTGAATTCTCTCTAAGTCCCAGTAACTAACGTCCTTGTCATGGAGTGTTAATGCATACAATTTTGTAACATTTTCTATTGCCAGTAATTGATAGTGTAGTGCTGTAGAATAATCCTGCTTGAAATCTCTATAGATTTCCATTATGGATTTGTAATAATTCCACAAACCGATATGTTGATCTCTCTGACTTTTCAGATCCATGCAGCATTGAATTGCTTTCTCAAAGTTGACCAAGGCCTCATCGAAATAGCCTATAAATTTCTGCATATAAGCCATCTTTTCATATAACTCTAATACTTTTTTATCCGTTGGTGAACAGAATTTTAGAGTTTCTTGCAGTTCCAAATTTCGATACTTAAGTATTTCCTTTGTTTCATCACTGACTAATTGGTCGTCACATGCTTCATTTTCCATGTCACTGTACGGTCTTTTAAGCAGATAAACTTCTGATAGTTTTCTGTAAATCTCAGCTCTTTCTTTATCCATGATAGGTTTGTCAAGGGATAAAATATAGCTAGCGATCGCCAGATCTAAATGTTTAACTACAGAACTCGAATGTTCCACTTGGCAATGATCGAGTTCAACGTGAATATCGCCAATATCAATATTGACATTCAGTTCACTATCACTTTTATAGTTTTCCCAAATGTCAATGGCTTTTTCATAATAAACAGATTCCGATTCAGAACGGCGAGATAGGTCCTTACTTCGATGAATACCAAGACAATGGTATCGATGTGCTTCTAACCAATTCTTCTCCGATGGAAATAAATTACACAATTCATTAAAAATGATATTTATCTCCATCAGCGGTGTCAAACCCAAATCATCAATAAACATTCGGCAACATTCGTGTAAATTTCTTCTCAGATTCATATCTTGATGATATTCTTTGATCTTTTTCAATGAAATGTCGTCGGATAATTCCAGCTTTATTGTGTAGTGTTCTTCATCAACATTATAAGAAAATTCTTTACGTCTGAAGTACATTCCCATCATACAAAGAACTTCACTTTCTTCAGAGAATTGACTCAGACGAGATATATCTGCAAATGCATGAGAGCTTTTACGAGTATCAAGCTCAATTTCAAACAAAACTGATGTGAAGCCTTCTGGTGTAGCGGATGCTGGTTGAAGAAAAACAAGTGATAGATCACGGTTTAAAGTGGTAGATAAGAAGCTGTTAATTAAAAAGGTGTCGTAAAAATCTAAGCTTAGTTCTTCTACTTCTTTCAGTGACATGATTTGACTTCGATAAACATGAACTATTGGTTCATCTATCTCAATACATTTGTACTGTTTTTCATATTCTGTTTTCAGCTGCCTATATATATCTCGCATGTAGAATCCGAAAAGGAACATTAATTCAACATTTCGTTGACGGAGTGCCCTATTCAGAAGTCGAAAGATAATTGAATCGCGAGTATACCAATAAACTGCTCTTTCGGGAGTGTAGTTACGTTCAAACTCTTCAAGTACTCGTAATTCTGCTTCTTTTCCAGCATAATAATTCTTCAATTCACTAATAAGTCGTAAATATGCATTGCCCTGATAAGGTAATTGGCATAATATTTCGAGAAAACGTGGCCACCATGTCTCTGTTTGATTATCATCTGTTGTTTTATCTTGTCTTCCTAGACCACTAATAATACCATCTTTCTGATGCATTAAATATTCAGTTACGTCTTGGGAAAGACGCGACATTAAGATTCCCCGCTTGTCAGCAAATGTTTTGGCCTATTAAAAACATAAACAGAAGCAGTGTTTCTTGTCGTAAGTCACAATCTGCATGATAAACCAGGTAAGACTCTCAATTTTTCCTCGCATAGCTAAATGCACGTTAGTCTTCCAGTGTTAGTGCTTGCTCTCATGGTACTTACTTTCACATAATTAACAGTCCATTGTAGCTGAAGTTTGTCGCACAATAGGCAATTTCGATTATGCATGTCGATTGGTTTTACGGCAGGCTCCGAAGCGTCACAGTCATCGGCTATGTAGGCTTTGATTAAAAGAGAATTGTTAACAAGAAATTCAATAAACTATTGAAAAACAAAATTCCTCTTTTAAGTTTGAACTAACTTTTTTATCGAGCTGAGGTATAATCATATCCCGTTTAATGAAACTGCTACTTTATAGAGCTACTACCACCGACAAGGAATACGACATTGTTTTTATAGATCCTCCTTTCGACAGTAAGAGTTTCAAAGTTTTTGACAGTTTTTTGTGAGATTTTCCAGAGTTTGCCAATTCCCACCTTTGCAAAGAGCATACACAGAATCCTATGTAGAAATATTATTTGGACATTTGTCTAAAGCTTCTTTTCACAACTATACTTAAAGACATCAGTGACCGAGTTTCCAAACATATGTTTTTCCCCAAAACTAGGCATGTTAGAATACCAGTACTAACTATACACAGACTTCAGTAGGCTAACCCTAAGCAACAGATAAAATAGCTCCTTGCCAGCATAGTTTTCCACATTGATTTAAAATACAATAAGACTTTTTGAATCTATAAAAATGTAAGTAGCAGAAACAACGGTGAGATTTTGAGAAACCTCGATTTCCGCTCTGCAGCGCTTCGAAATTTTATCTCATCGAACTGCATGCAGCAAATGCTTAGTAGGGTATTATTGCGAGAGTCTGAACAACTTTAATAGTAGACTTTAGTTACGGCTTCCTTGACTTTTGATTTGCACAATCAACTGCAGCGCAGTCTCATTTTTCATACAATTATCGTTTTAAAACGAAATTTGCAGGGATCTTCCTAGAATAAACTACAGGAACTGAAACCAAAACTTTCTATATAGTAAAAAGAATCATGCGTGTGTGCTAATGAGAGCCCCGCAGCTTAACCTAATCCGATCTAACCCAACTCAAACCGGCGGAGTTTCGATTAGAAAGTCACCCGATTCGAGTTTGGTTACGGCCGAAGAAATTGTTTTGAAATATCTCTTATTAAATAGATAGCAAGAAGATTTGACTCGAAAACCGATAAAGTATAAAAAGAATTACAGAGTGGTAAAAAGTTGAACAAAGCGTGGACAAGCACTGTTCTTAGTTTGTAATCACTAGGATATAAGTTACAGTTTCGTTTTTTCGCTAATAGGGTATGGTAATGGTTGAGAAGCCGTCGGCTTGAGTTAGAGGTGGGAAAAAACCCAGATATGTAGGGCTCTGATGCTGATCGATAGAACCTTCGTTTTATCCTCTTACTGTATATCCAGGAGTCTGCCCAGTCTACATCATTCGAACAATAAATATAGATAGATTGTATATTTTTGAATTCATGAATTTGTGGAACAAGTCTTTCGGCTAGACTAGTAGAACAGACCACGTATGTAGTAGTGTCCTGCGTTTGTCGAACTAATTGTTGGCATTCATCAATATCATCAAATAGTTTTGTACCGTTGAAGATACCAAGTAGCCCTTCACGGGTTAGTTTAACATTAATATCGGATTCGTCATGTACATTTTCATCACACCAAAGTAATTGATACGATTCAAGGTTTACTTCGTGGCGAATGAACATATTTCGACGTGGTACTGTGTTATTTGTAGTCCGACACGAGAGTTTTCCTGACAATTCCGTAGTGGTATCATTTTCTGTTGCATGTCTTTTTAAGAGTTCTTCGTTTTTTCTTGTATCTGCAGCTCTAAGACTGTATGATATCGTGTTTGTTCCGCTATTCGTGGGCTGGTTGTATTGTAGACTGCTCATCATTAAACTCTATTGGTTGACTGCGAACAAGAGCAGCTCTTTATAACGATATTGCTTCGCGAAGGTACGAAAAACACATTTTCACGTCGTTTTCTTTTAATTTTGCACTCACACACAAACACACACAACACAACTCACGATAGTCTGGAAAACAAATAACAACACTGAGTGAAAAAAGCTTTTAGTTTTGTTATTTCGTTGTTGTAACAGAACAGAATAAATGAGAATCGAATCGAATCCATAGAAACTACAATTTACATTTTTTCTTGCATTCAGAGACAAAAGAAATGATTTTTTTTCCTGTGTATTAACTTCAAAAAAAAATTAAAGAAGCAATATAAAAAACTTTTAGAAATTGAAAAGGGCTATGGTTATAGAGAGGTGCTGTAAGTGAAGACGGTAAAACAGATAGAATGTTAATAAAAATTCACTAACTCAGAAACAACAAGACCGGATGACGAGGGTGTGGGTATGGGTGTGGGTTGGGGTGTGGATGTGTGGGTGTGAGTGTGGGATGGGTATTGGTGGGGTGTCAGTGTGGGTGTGGTGGGGTGTCAGTGTGGGTGTGGTGGGGTGCCAGTGTGGGTGTGGTGGGGTGTCAGTGTGAGTGTGGGTGGGTGTGGTGGGGTGTCAGTGTGGATGTGGGGTGGGTAGGGTGTCAGTATGGGTGTGGATGTGGGTGTGGTTGGGTATGGATGTGGGTGTGGTTGGGTATGGATGTGAGTGTGGGTACGCGTGTGAGTATGAGTATTCATTTTTTGTATACCCACGCCCACACTCACACCCATACCCCAACTTTGATGACGTTTTGTTGCATTACTTACCACTTAAAAAAAAAAAACATAGTTTGATAGAGAAAAATTTTCTCTATCTACTGGTATCAAAGGAATATCTAGCCCATTCCGAAAAATCAGACAACCAATCATATGATACTCGCTATTGTTTCACTTAGTTGACATTGTCTTGTCGGCTCAGGATCTATACTAGTATTCAAATAGTAATAAAGTTTTTTCATAATTAGGTATTAGTTTACTTTAGACATATAAGAGAACAGGCAAGAAAACAGTGTGGGTGTGGGTGTGGGTGTGAGGGTGTGGGTGTGGGTGTGAGTGTGGGTGTGGGTGTGGGTGTGGGTGTGCGTGT